TGCTACACAAATCTGTTGTTGCATACACATATTTGTCTTACTCTTAGAAACAAATTCCCCCACCATGGGCAATTTGTTAAATTGAAAGAGAAAATCCTCAAAACTGACATTGGATATTTCTAGATTTTTTTTTTTTTAGATTTCCTACTAACCAAGAGTTACTTCCTTCATCTCTTACTTCTTCCTTAAACTACTCCCCTACCCCACAAAAAAAGGTATCTGAACCTACAAAGTCCTAAAATATGATTTATGCAAAATATCTGAATGACAACTTATTCAGACTACACTTTTTAGGTAATAAAAAGCTGTTCTTCCAACATTCATTGTAAAACCTATAGAGAACAACAAAAGGAACTGCATATTTTAAGTATATGACAGACATAATTAGAATAAAATGGAAATGATCTGGGTATTTCCATCTTAATTTCCGTAGATATTCCTATGGTTGCTGAAACAAAATTTCAATAGGATAAATGGTCTTTAATTTATATTATAAAAATGCATTAAAAACTAGATCACAGCTTTCTTTAAAAGGATGTCTGGAATGGGGGAAAGATACAATGGGGACCAGGAGGTGATATAACCTCAAAAGATCAATACCTACTTTTTAAAAAATCTTAATTAAGTAATTCTTTGGACTGGTGGCACCAGAATAGGGGAAAATAAAAATAATTCTGAATGTTACCTACGATTCTCTCAAAAAAAATTTTTGTCAAAAATTTTACCATGAGCATGGTATTTTTATAAGTAATTTTCTGTTCCTCTTCAAATCTCTTTAAAATAAAAAATTAAACAAATTATTTGAAGCACCATTAGGAGTTACACATTTAATGTATTATCATCTCCAGCTAACTATTAGATTTGACTTGATAAATAATATAGAAAGGAAATGCTATAAAAGCTTGTCTGACTACTATATATTTTTTCACATTCAAAATCAAGACCAGCTTCCATTATACTTTTTAAATAGAATACCAAAGTATCTGATACAAAAAAGAATACTAATTTACTCTCTTTCAAAATACTTTTTAAATAGAATACCAAAGTATCTGATACAAAAAAGAATACTAATTTACTCTCTTTCAAAAATGATAAAAATGTAGGGTCTATGCCTTTAAATTGCAAATATCACCTACTATATTTAGCACCTTCAGTGAATTCCAGAATATACTAGATGGACTTATATGCCAAGTTCAAAACTAAATAAAAGAAAATATTCTTGGCTACTTATCTTTCAAAAATAAAATGAAAGATTGAAAAATAATTCTATAATGTGACCCTTTCCAATCAGTTTTCTTTTTAAGAGTAGTAAAACATTCTTTATGGGTCTTAACTTAAAATTATTTTTTGATTTGTCTCTTTTTTTCTTTTTGGGATATAGTGGTAGAGATTCTATCATGTGTTCATATCTATGTCTAGACTGAATGCCAGCCTGAGTTCACTTAATACCTCGGTAATGTTATAGTTAGCCCAAAAGGTAAAGAGAGCTAAGGCTCAATTTAAGAAAGCAGAAGAGTTGAGATAATGCCAAGTTTAACAAAAAAAGACACACAAACATGCAACATTTTCACTTACACCATGAAAAAAAAATACTAATAGTAAAAATTGGTATCTAATATAGTAACTCCTGTGTATTAACTAGGCAATTTTTTTGTTTGGTGGGTAGAGAAAAGGTCAGAAATTAGAAAGCATGTTAAACTTTTTCAAATCAGTTTTGGTAGGCTATCACTGAATGGATAATTAGCAACAAGTTGGTAAACGTCTCAAAGCATGTAACAGAGCAGACATTTCTAACAGTGGATCGAGCAAGAGGTAAGCTCTGGACACAATAAATTCTTGGGAACAGGAAAAAAAAAGACAACATAACTAACTTGCCCATGCTAGAAACACAGACTTCCACCTGTTCCTTCTCCCTTCCCATTTTCACTGTGGTCATCTACATCTTAAATCCTGGTCCAAATTTTCCCAGGCATAAATTTGACCTATGCTCTAGTTTGCTACATAACCTGTTCCTCCCATAACTTACATTTGAGGACAATTACAAGTAAATTAAGTTTCATAATCTATCTATGAATATATTCCCCATCCCAATTTAAATATCCAGAATTATGGCTGCCACATTCCCAATTCTGAGGACTAGGATAAGACAGTATCAAGACGTTGTTCTTGAGGAATGTGTGTATGGTGTCAGAAAGTAAGATATGATGCTTGTCTCCATCCATAATAATCTCCACTGCTCTTATCACTGCTCCTTCATCACACTCATCTGTAAAGCAGCTTTAAGAAATGTTGGTGTGTAAAAACAACAAACTTTTAAGACATGTTCTTATTAAGAATCAATCCTAAGTTTATGATTGAGAAGTAAAGAGAAAATTTTAAAATTATATCCTTACTAATACACCTTTTATAAAAGCAAGGTCAATGATTTTTTTTTACTGTTTTGATAACTATTTCACTATAATTGGCTTCCTTTGCAATCCTAAACATTTTATCCTTGAGAAGGAGTCCATACATAAGCTCTACCAGACCACCAAAGGGGCTCAATTCATAAAAAAAGATTATCACTTGCCCTAAAGAAAAATAAGAATAACAAAGATTTCTGACAATGATTACATTAGAATCAGGATCTTTGCTAATCAGATCTAAGCAGGATAGAAAGAATAATTTAATATAGCTATATATCCCACTATATATTCCAAAGTGGCAAAGAAAAGCAGAGCAATTAGTTGGCCAGATATACAATCAGGAAAACCTGGGTTCACATCCTTTGACAAATAAATAGGAGCTATGTGATCATTGGCAAGTCACTTAACATCTCAGTCCCCTGGAAATTCTCTCTCAGATTATAAATCACAGAGGAGTTGATCTATATGGTAAAAGGAGTTTCTACACACTGAGGAAATCCAGATCAAAAAAAATTTTTAATAAGAAATAGGTACTATTTTGTTGCCTTAAATGGAAGCTGAAATGAAGAATACTTTAAAATAGCTAGGGGAAAATTGTTTTAATACAGTTTCTTCAATAAAAACTTTCTACCTGTTGATGTAAGTATGGAACAGAAATTTCACAGTTAAGTAGCACTTCTGCTTATTAAAAAAAACTACAGGAAAGTATGCCCAATTACTAAAGTAGTAGCAATGAATTATTTTTCCTCAGTCGTAAATTACCATAATTAAATTAGTCTCAATGGTATTGAGAGAGAACTTTTTAAGATTTAAACAGTTATTCCTTTATTACTGAATTGTGCCTTACTTTCAGTTATTCAACAGTATTTTTATGTATATTTGTTTAGATACGAAAAAAAGCTATTAGTCAAAGATTTTCCTCCTGGACCTGGCAGAGTCAATGTGGGGGCAAGGAGGGTGTTAATATATACACTGAACTTAAGCCTCTAAAAACTCACTAATTTATCTAGAAATTTTATAAACCATATTAATAAAGAAATAGTACAGTACGTGAAAAGTATACTAGAATCAAGAATAAGAAGGGCTGGGTTCAATTTCCAATCATGAGCAAATCACTTAACTTCTCATCCCCCACCTCTAAAATAGGGATGATAATAGTACTGTAATAACTATCTCAAATGATAATTGTGAGGAAAGCATTGTATAAATCTCAAAGTACTATGTAAATGAGCCTTTTCATGAAGACACACATAATATCATATTCTCTTCCTATAGTGATAACATAATGCCAACAAAGAAGAAAATATCTGTGACCACAAAAGGCTATTACATATGACAAGACAATACTTCCTTAGCTAAGAAAATACTGAAGAATATGGGGGGGGGAGATTTAGATTTTAATGTACTCTAAAAATATAAAAGTCCAAGCATATTTTTCTTTGCTTCTCACTTTAGCTACTGGCATCTTGGTCATACAATTCATTTTTTTTCAAAATGAAGTGAATGATAATTATTTATTTTTCTATTAAAGATGTCTACTGTATTTAACTCTTCATTTGTCAGAAGACGTATATAAAACATTTATGGCCAGAGTTTAATAAAAGATAGTTTATAAACATCTTTTTCAAGCAGGATCACCTTTAAGGTTTAAAGTTATACTACAGAAAAGTAATCAAAGTGAGACTATTTTTCTTAACATAAGGGGTTTTTGTGAAAATATATGACTACATGGAGTCCATAATACAATTTAATTACCTGTGACTTATACTAGTTACAAAACTTTTATTAAGTCAGACGGAACATAATGGAGGACCACACAGCAGTGCTAGGTACAAAGACACACAAATGAATCTCTTACAATTTGTTTTAAGATTTTATGGTATTCATCAAATATTAAAATTAAGATCCAGTAATGATTATTTTCATTTTCTAGCCTACCTCTGACAAATTTGCAACATTAAGTTTATAGTCTAATTTTAAAAATGTAACAGACACAGAAGTAATCGCACATAAGGGAATTTTTTTATATCCTTTATAGTTAACTTCCTAAAAAAAAATGGATGTAGATCACTGTATGAACCAGATGATTCTACTACCATTGTCTTTGCAAGGAATATGTCATTTATGTGTGAAATTTTTAGGTTTCTTCCTGTATGAAAGTAAGGGATTAAATTTATTCTGTGGTTTATACATTTTATTCCACAAAGCATCTCTTGAAGAAAGTGCAAGCAAAGAAACCTGCTTAATTTTTGTTTATTTTTTGGCCCTCCAGTCCCACACCAATATTGTAACAAAACGCTGAAGTCTTGAAACATTAAAACATACTCAAAATGATTTAAATGATAGGAACAAATGACCCATATGCTATATATCCATTAACAAACACAAGTTCATATTTCTCTAGAATCAATTAGCAAATCAAAGTTTATCTAACTATAAACATGTAATCAAAACAATTTATCAAAATAAAATTTTCACTACCAAAAATGAAGCTGTTTTTAAAACCATAATTCACTATTTTAGGGATAATTTAATGTAAATTTCACCTCCTAAATTGAGCCTAGCTACAAGTGAAAAACCACTTAGAAACTTTACCTGCTTCCTGTGAATTTAACACTTCTAAGGCATGCATCATGGCACTTGCAAAGACGTTGGCATCTTCTTTACTGCCAAAGTTGAGACCATACACCTGTCTAGCATCTCGCCATTGGTGGAAGGTCTGTGTAGCTTGATTGTACTTCAATCCTTTAGGAATGGCACAATTTATCACGACCTAAAAATACAATAATTGGTACAATTAATTCAGTGTAATTTAGCAAGGATTTAAATGTGTCTAATGTGGAAAAGACACTATTCCAAATAGAAGGGATACAAAGACAGAGACCAAACGACCCTACCCTCAACAAATTTACATTCTGATAGGGGAGAAAGTGAAAATCATACACAGACACGTAAATATGAAGAAGACAAAGATAAAAATTCAGGGGCAAGAACAGGAAGCACTGTCACCTAGAGGAAATCAAGCAAGATCTCAGGTAGGAATAGCACCTGAGCTAAGCCTTGCATGTGGGTAGGAATTCCTAGATTTAAGTTGAGAGTGCATTTCAGCCACTGAGGACAAAATGCGCAAAAGAACAGATGTGGGAAAGAATATTGTGTGCAAAGAAGGAAGGAAGGAAATATGCATTTATCACTAGCTTATACTACATGCCAAAACTGTACTAAGTGCTGGAGATACAAATAAAAGCAAAAAGAAAAAACAGTTCACACCCTTAAGGAGCTTATATCCTAATGGATGAGGACGCAAAACAGTAGGATCAATGGATCTTACTACTCTTTGCAAGGTTCTATAACATTACTTACTTCCTTGATTTACTGTGTGAGTTTGATCAATCACTTCACTTCAATGCAAACATTTATTAAATGCTTGCTATGAACAAGAGGTTGTACGGGGAACTGGGAATACAAAGATAAAAATGAAGTTTATACTGATGATATAACGATAGATACACAGAAAAGCACAATACAAGGTAGACTATATTAGGAAGAAAAGATAACTGTGCAGGGGTGTGCTGACAGCTTGAACCATTGTTAAATTTTCAGTGTGAGCATTTACATCTTGGAAATCCGCAAAGGCTACAAATCAGAACATATGGAAGAGGAAAAGGTTCATAGTCCTCCTTGACACCAGATAATTACTTAGCAAGGAGACTGTGACAGAGAAAGAGATACTTAATGTTCTGGGAAATTTAAGAATCAAGGAACAGAGATTATCAAATAATTTTGATTAAATAAAATTTAAAAGTTTTTCACAAAAGAGCAGTAATAGAGTTGGGAAAAATATTTGCACCAATTATTAACCAATGCACCAATTAATTAACTATTAAGAGCCTGATATCCAAAATATACAGGGTACTAGAAGAACACCAAAGAGCTATTTCCCAGTAAACAAGCAGTCAAAGGTTACAAATAATATTTCAAAGGAAGGAGCCCAATATCCAAGGTGTATAGGAAACTGATTCAAATTTATAAAAACAAGATTCACTGCACAACAGGTAGCTCTCAGAGGAAGAAATCTAGCCTAACAATAACCATATGAAAAAATGCTTCAAATCACTAATAACAACGGGAATAATAAATTAAAACAACTCTGTTTAAACTTCACACTCATCAAATGGAAAAGATGATGAAAAAGGAAAATGGCAACTGTTAGAGGAAAGGCACACTAATGTACTATTGGAAAGGTATAATATTCCAACCACTCTAGAAAGCAATTTGGAACTATACCACAAAATTCACTCAGCTGTGACATACCATTTGGCCTATATCCAAAGACATCAAAGGAAGAAGAAAACATTCATAGCTGCCAATTATTGTAACGGCAAAAAACTAGGAACAAAGTGAATATCTGTCAGCTAGAGAATGGCAGAACAAATCACGGTATATGAATGCAATGGAATATTACTTACAACAAGACATGTGATGAGAAAGAAACAGATACAGAGAAACCTGTGAAGACGTGTGGACTAATACAAAGTGAAAGTCAGCAGAACCAGAAGAAAAATACATACGATGAACACAAGCCTGTAATGGAAAACAACTTTGAAGGACTTAAGAACCATGATCAATGTATGACCAATCATGACTCCAGAAGATTGATAATGGACACATGACTTCCACCTCTTAGCAGTCTACAGTTGCAGAATTAGACTTGGTTTCTCTTCACTAGCTACTTCTCAAACTAAAGGTTAGGGCAAATTTGTAGGGTGTAAAGTGAAGTTTCTCTTCTTGTCCCCTTTCCAAAATATCTTTTTTATTCTTTCATACTGTTCTGAAGCAGCCACACCAGCTCCATCAACCTACTATGTGGCAGACACGGTGCTAATCTCTGAAAGACAGCCCGTACCCTCACAGAGTTTACAATCTAATGAAGGTAGACAACATACAAAAAGATGATGAAAAGGGTAGTAGAGAAGTCAGATTAAGTCCCAAAGCAGTCCAGTGAAGTAAGCAGGAAAGAGACAAAACTCCTCCAATTGGTCATCTACAAATCTTGGAGGTATTTCTAATGACATGTCAACATAAAATGCTCATACCTCAGGTGTATAATTTATCCAAGATTACTACTAAGCTATATGATACAAAGAATAAGGGCTAAATTTAATCAAATTTAAAACATCATTTCTGTGGAATTAAATCCTGTGTAACCCTGATTCACCTGAAGTCAGTCGATAAATATCTATTAAGCATCTATTATGTTTCAGGCACTGTGCTAATCACAAGAGATCCAAAGAAAGGAAAAAGGTAGCCCCTACCCTTGAAAAGCTCACAATCTAAGGGCAGAAACAGCATGCAGATAACTATGAACAAATTCGCTATATGCAGGATAAATAGGACATAATCAGCACAAGAAAGGCAAAAGAATTAAGAGACACCAGGAAAAGCTTACTATAGAAGGTAGAATGTTCGAGAGTATTCCATGCATGGAAGACAGCCAGTTAAAATGCTCGACAGTCGAGAGAGTTGAAAGATGGAATGAATGTCTTGTTTGAAAATTTGACCTAAAATCTTTTCCAGGAATGACAATGATTTTCAGTGGGTTGGTGAAGGAGGTAAGGGAAAATCACAGAATAACTAAGATAATCTTTCAAAATACGGTTTTATTACTTATAATGAGCAAGGAATTCATTTCTATACTAAGATCACACCTTCAAGTTTTCTGGATAGAAATTTTTATATTTTTAAGACCTTTCATGAATTTGAACATACAAATTCTTACATACCAAACCTTAGATAACTAAGGACCCTTCTAGTTCTAACCAACCTACAGAATGTGAAGTCTAATAATCTCTCTCTGATAGACCTACATTCAAGACCAGAGCAGTCCTCCTAGTCATCAATCTCAGAACACTACTAATAAACGCTAGTTTCCTGATAATGTTGCATAGATCTGTCATCCATTACTTTACAAAAAATCTTTTTGAAAGGCTAACATTTTATACTCTTATTTAACTCTTGGTAGTTTTTACATCAGTTTTTACAAACTTCCCCTCTGAACCTTCCTTTATAAGTAAAATATCCAATACAGAGACCATATCTGTATTGTAAATATGTATAATCCCCTCCCACTTATATGGGGGGGGAAGAGCTGATTATGAATTCACTTGGACTTTCACTTCATTAATCAGTTACTCCAAGTTCCTTTTAGAGATTTATTCATTTTTATTGTTATAATTTTGAATACACTGTTCTCTTGATTCTGCTTATTTCATTCACCAACAGTATTTAAAATCTTCCTATGAAATTCCAGGAAGATCTTCCCTGAATTCCTTATTGTTGCCATTTTTTAAATTATACAATAATCATGCCATAATTTTTTTTGTATTCTCCAGTCACTAGGGACACATTTTATTTCTTCAAATACCTGACTACACCCTCATGTCTTCTCTATTTCCATCTAAACATCAATAATCCCTTCAATAAATGCTCACAGCAAGAAGTGGAGACTACATAAACTTCCATATAAGCTTGTCATCTATGCCTTTATCCAAAACACTGAAGAAAATGTTAAAAAGAACAAGGTCAGGAAACCTTCTTGGGGGCACTCTACATTTAAATTAACCCATTAATGACTACTCTTTGGGTCCAACCATTCAACCAGTACTGAATCCAGATTCTAATAGTGGCAAGTCCACATCTCTCCAACTACATCTCCACAATGATAGCACAAGGGCCTTGAAAAAAAAAATAGATGAAATTTCTCCATAATGCCCAGGCTGGCCATAAAAGCCTTTTCGAAATGTCTGACTGAAATCTAGGTAAGTATTTCCTTCATCTACCAGTTTAATTATGTTATTAAAAAAGGAACTGAGGTTAGTATAGTATGACATACTCATGGAAAAAAGGCCTTGCTGTTTATTTAAAACAAACCACCTTATAATTTTGTCAGAAATCTAAGTAAAAATTGCTCTACTTTTACCTCTTCTGAAAATGAATACAGATAGCATTTACTGTTCTCCAATCCTGAAGCACTTCCCATTTTCTCTAATATTTAAAAAAAACAGAGACAGTGACTAAGTAAACATCTGCCAGAATGCTAGCGTGTTTTTCATCTAGATCTGATAAATTGAACTCATTAAGGACAGTAATTAATCTCTGATTATCCCTTTACTTATTTATACACAGAATGGAAAATAGAAGCAAAATAACAATTGACTAGAACTTCCTTTTTTTCCATTATCAAGTACCATAATTCTGTCCCCTCCCCCTTTCTCTGATACTCCCTTTCCCCACCAGTTTCAAAAAAAACCTTCTTACAGGATTGCCATGTGTTTGTATTTACTCTGTTACCTGCCTTTCCTTCACACTCTTTTTAAAATTTTCTCTTTTCTTAATAGAAACAATGCCCATGGAATCTTCAGAAAATCAGTCTTGAAAGCTTCCCATTCCTCCTGGGCTCATTTCCCCTAACGAATTTTAGGCCATGGGATCCTCCTACTTATTCTATCGCTAGACCTTCGAAAATTTACTCTCAACTCTAGAGTGCATGTCAGACTATAGCCAACTATTATCTCCTTTGTTATGATAAGATTAATGATCACTTCCCTACCTCAAGGAAGGAGTACCATTTCCACTGTAGCAACTGGCTCCTCCTCTCTGATGTCCTCTAACTCTTAAACAAAAAACTAAATTATTATTAAAGCAGTCCAAGAAATTATTAACTACACTTCATATAAAAGTGCTTTTCCAGTGAAGCCTGCGATCTGTTCCTCAAATTATGGGAAATGAGGATTTAAGAGGTATGGGGAATTAGCAGTAGTGATGCCCAAAAAAAAAAAAAGAGAGAGACCTTTGCTACTTTTTAAAATGTATAGAAGAGAAAAGAAGGAGGGGCACAGACAAGAAGGATGGCTTTGAAAGTAACCTGATGATTTTATTATATGTTTCTGGAAAAAAGCAAGCTGTGTAAATAAAATGGAGGGGAATAATTTTATGTACAGTCCTATTTTTGAGTTCTACTTTACATATGAAAATGTATAATATACATATGTGTGTATATATATATATAAAGTTTATATATACATATTTATATATTAAGTTCAGAATTTTTTTTAAAGAGTAATTTTTTTTCAAAAGGAGTGAAAATTTATTTAAGATCATGCAGCTAATGAGTGGCTTGGTTAGCTCTAGAAGAATGTCAATAATAGTTTAATTTGTATATGATATTATGGTTAATTTTTTACTTGAAAACACAGATCATACATTACTAAGTACAGCTCTGTAGCCAAAATAAATTTAGGAAAATGGTCCTCAAAGAGTAGTGTAAGTACTTCTTGGGGTTCCAGAGACCCCTTCAGGGCATCCACAAGATTAAAACTAGTTTCATAATAATGCCAACATGTTTAAATTTTGAATAGGGCAAATATCAACAGACATAATCCACATAAACAAAAACTCTATGGAAAATCCTCAACTTTTAAGAATGTAAAGGGATGGTGGGACCAAAAAGTTTAAGAATTGTTGATAGAGTACAGGTTATTACTTCAATTAGAATCTTTACATGTACTCAATAAAATAATTAAGTAATTTCAACATCAAATAAGAGACAAAAACCTTTATTTTTTTTTAAAGGTCCTTACCTGATGGTCCTGAATCTTCCTTCCCACAACTCGAAAAGTGTTATTACCCGTATGGTGATATATATGAACTCGGCTAAACCCAGTTGAGCCACCAGCCGGCACCCATTTCTTATTGGCATCATCATAAACCATCACTGCAGCTCTTGCTTGGCAGATACTCTGTTCACTGGAAGAACAAAATTCAGATATTTAAGATTTATAAAACAGTTGATACAAAGTTATAGAAAAGAGTATACAGGATTGTGAACCTCACCAAGGAAGGAACTCAAATTTTATCAAGGCCACTGATGAAAGTGGAAAATGACTTTTCTACAAAATTTAAATATCTAATTCATTTACCAAAATGAACATGAAGACTCTTTTTACATTATTTATACATGTATTTAACTATACATGAAAGCTAATTTATTTTTTATAAATCTGTTTGTTTTACTGTATTTTCTTCCTTTCATACTTAATGACACATGAAGCACTTAAGAGTTGACAAACCTAGAAGAAGCCATCAAGGTAACAAAAGACAGAAAAGCTAGTCGTGTGAAACAGACTGTGTAACTGAAATAAGTATTCACTGTGACATACTACTAAGTTAGCATGACTAGTTCAAATCTACGGATCACCTCAAGTTGCGTTTTAGACATGAGGGCAGTTATTTTAGGTAAGTAGATTAGTTACATCTTCAGTTACAGAAGTTAACTGAGGTTATATCACTTCATTTAAATTTTACTCCTTCCTAAAGTAGAATTCCAAGTCTCCTAGGATTTAACTCAATGTTTTACCATTAAAGAATAATGTGGAGCAAGAGTTAGGTAATATCTGTAACTCCAGTGTTTCAAAGGCAGGAAAGGGAACAAACACTTATTAAGTACCTACTATGTGCCAGATATATTATGCTAAACGCTTTTTACAAATATTATCTCATTCGATCCCCACGACAATCCCAGGGGGTAGGTACTATTGTTACCCTCCACTTTAAAGTTAAGAAAATTGAGGCTAATAGGTCAAATGACTTGACCAGGGTCACACGACTAACGGCTAAGGCTGGACATGAATTCAGGTCTTCATCTTCACTTCTGCTCCATAACCAGACTATCTACTTTTCTAGTTACTCATAATTCAGATATCATTTGTATCCATTATTTTGCCTATTTCCTCACCAGTAATGTGTTTACATCCTATTTATATGTATGAGCATGTACTTCACTGACTTTTAGCCATGCAGCATGACTAGAAGGAAGCTTAAAAAAAAAAAGTCTTGGTCAAGAAATCCAAGAAAAAAATCACGAGTCATTCTTCCAGCCTAGCTCAGCAAAAGAAAAAGGGTCGAACAGTCTTTGAACACTAGAGACTGGGTAAGAATCAAACACACAGATTCTTCCAATGGAAGGAATGAACCAAGGTCTGCCCAAAGCTATGCATCAGGGCAAAAAGGGTCTGGCACAGAGAGCCCTTATCTTGTGCAAAGAGCAAAAACTGGTAGCAACTGGCAGCACTGTAACCAAAGCAGGAATCCTAGGTCAAGAGGAGCCAGCAGTTCAGTCACTACGAACCTATGGAGCTTTCTAGCCAGTCTAGTAAGCGGCCTCCTGACGGTGCAAGCAAGCAGTGGCAGATCCACAGACACTTAGTCTCAAACCCAGGTCAGAAACTTGCAAAGCTAAGACTAAGAGATCAGTGCTTAGACTTCCTGGATCAAACAACTTTGGGTACACAAAAAGCTTCCAAGTTTGTAACATGAGCTGTCTTTGAGATTCTGGAATAACACACTATCCAATTTCTGATAAAGCAGCAGCAAGAAAAAAAATGACACAAAATATGACCAAGCATGGCCAAGATATTGCCCTCCAGAAATGCACTGAGACTGGTCCTAACACAAAGTCCAAGGTCAAAAAGTAAAAATGAAAGAATGAACAACAACAACAACAACAAAAAGAATCCAATCACAAAGAGGTAGCACATTATCAAGGATAATAAAGAGGGAAACAAAGAAGAGAATAATTTCAAAACATCTACAAGAAAAGCTTCAAAGAAAAGCACAGCTTAGGCACAAGTTAAAATTGAATTCCCAGAAGAGATAAAAGCTAGAATTTAGTGAGCTAAGAAAAGATTATATATTATGAGAATGCCAAGGGGGAAAGCTGGAACAGAAATGAGAGCTGTAAAACAAAAAATTGGAAAGAAAACAAAGGTTTGGCAAGAAAAGGAATAAAACCTTATACAAGCACTGAACTTCTAAAAATGAGAATGGACCAAATAGAAGCCAATGACTCCATGAGACAAGAAGAAATATTACAGGAAAGCCAAAAGATTGAAGAAATACAAGAAAGTATGAACAATCTCAAAGCAAAAACTGACCACACAAACAGGTTAAGGAGAGAGAATTTAAGAAATGACAGGCCTACCCGAAAGACATGAGCAAAGAAGATCTAGACTTCATATTTCAAGAAATCATAAAAGAAGACTGCCCAGAACTCTTGGAACCAGAGGACAAAGTAAGAATAGAAAGACTCCATGAGTCACTTCCTGAAAGAAATCCTAAAATGAAAACCCTCAGGAACATCAGGGCCAAAATTGGAAGCTTCCAGGTCAAAGGAAAAATACTGAAAGCAGCTAGAAAGAATTCAAACAAAGAGCAAAAGTCAAGATTGCAAAGGATGCAGCAGCTACCACTACATAAGATGGAGAGAGCTTGGAATATGATATTCCACAAAGCAAAATATAAATTTACAACCCTAAGGGGTGGGGACATGAAGAGGACGTTTTATATTTTAATCAAATAAAGGCCTTCCTCAATTGGGGAATGGCTGAGCAAGTTGTGGTATATGAATGTAATAGAATACTATCGTGCTATAAGAAATGATGAACAGGCTGACTTCAGAAAAACCTGGAAAGACCTATATGGTCTGATGCTGAGTGAAGTGAGCAGAACCAAGAGGACTTTGTACACAATAATAGCCACATTATGTGATGGCTAATATTATTAAACTGAACCCTTCTCAGCATTACAAGGATCTAAGACATCTCCAGAGGACTCAGGATGGAAAATGCTGTCCACATCCAAAGAAGGAACTATGGAAGTTGAATTGCTATCACTTATTTTTACCTTCTGTTGAGTTTTGTTTCATCTTTCTGATGGTTCCTCCTATTGGTTTTAATTTTTACTTACAACTTCACTAATGTGAAAATATGTTTAATAGGAATGTAAATGTAAAACCTATATCAGACTGTGCACCGTCTTGGGGAGGGTGGGGGGGAGAGGAAAATTTTCAACTCAAAAGCATATGGAAGTGATTGTTGATAAATCAATAAATTAATAAAATTGGGGGGGGAAACAAATAAAGGCCTTCCAAGTATTTCTGATTTAGAGAGAGAGAGAGAGAGAGAGAGAGAGAATAGAAACTTAGAAATACAAACATAAGTCAAAAAAAACATAGAAAGTTAAATGAGAGCAATCACTGGGGACTAAACAAGGATAAAGTATATACGTGCAAATATAGAGATGATATATTTGTCCCTGAAGAACCGTATCATTATCAAGGGTCAAAGAAAGAGACTATTAAGACTAGAAATGTTGTTTGTTTTTTGTTTTTTTAATGTAGCAATAATCTTTTTTTTTTTTTAGTAGAAAGGAAAACCTATTAGTTAAATGAAAAGGGTAGGGGAAATTAATGTCACATAAGTTGGGTGAGGAAAGCAGGTGAAAAAGTAGTGAAAGGATAGAATATAAACACAGTTGAATGCACTTGGGGGCAGAGGCGAGAGAGCCCTAAGGAAAAACTCTAACCATTAATGATAGATCACAAAGGGTGGTTTAATAGGCTTCCTGTAAGAGGTGGGATTTTAGCTGGAACTTTTAAAAAAGCCAAAGAAGCCAGGAGAGGAAATGATCTATGATGAGAAACCATTTACAAAGCATGACACTGCAAGAGGACTCCTAATGGCTTTTTCAGAAAAATCACTGCTGATTAATGATATCAGCACACATTTACAATACATTTCTGTTTTTTACATTATCGGAGTGGTTAAATTATTTGCTCACACAGCTATTGAGGGTCAGGACAAAGTCTTTGTACTAAATGCTACCAATTCTAGCCATGCTTTAAAAAAAAAAACCTGTTTTTTTAACTACTTGTCAACTATAACCCTAAGAGACTCCAGTGACATGCCTCTACCTTTTCCCCACAATAAGGAAAACACAGAGAGGGTGACTCTTTTTAGGGCTACTGCTGAAGATTTCCATAAATACATTCTTTGATAACTAGAAAATCCGCTCACATTAATTTACTGTTTCCTGAGCACAACCTAACAAATGGTTGGAATTTTTTTTTTTCCTGAATTGGTTCTATAACCTTCTTGTACCTACAGTGAAAATACAGAACACCTGAAAAAACAAGAGGATGGAGAACTGGCATCTGCAAATATTTTTTAACGTTTCCCTGCCCAGAACCATACTGATCTACCCTACGGACAATTTCATTATTAAAAATAAAGAATGCTACTAAGAAGAATACTATTTATTGAAATTTTTTTAAAAACACATCATGTAGACATCATAAATTTCAATTTTCCTAATGATTTTAAATACAAAATTACTTGTACGTGAAAAGTTAAAATTTAATCATGTAAGAGGGAAATGCAAAGTTAAATGCAAAAAGATCAAAGTTAACTGCAGGTAAGAAATAAAGCAATAGTTTGCAGAGTAACAAATCATAGCAAGATAAGACTTAATTTTAATGATGATGAGACTTGGCTATGTTTTTAAGAGCAAAAAGACACTGAAGGTACACAAGAGGGGATGACAGAAGAAATGAGGTAACAGAGGAAATGGAAGGGCATTGAATGAATGGCACAGGTGGAAAAGTTAGCTTTAACAAGTGAGAAAGCTGAGCCAGAACGAGGACAGAGAAGATCAGAGGAATGGAAATGAAGCAGGATATAGATCTTAGATTAAGAGCTGAAAGGGAATTCAAAGATCATACCTTTCCTAGTCAATAACATTTTTAAGTACCTATTATATGCCAGGTAGTGTGCTAAGCACTGGGGATACAAAAAGAGACAAAAGACAATTCTAGCCCTCAAGGACTTCACAATTAAATGGGAAGACTATAAGGAAACAAATATGTACAAACAAGCTGCAATACAGGATAAAGAAATAATCAACAGGGAAGG